CACCAGGTTCTAGAATGGTTTCAGCATAGAGAATTTGTTCTTCACAATGAAGTTCAGGGTACTCAGTGATCCAGGCTGAGAGAGAGGAAAGCCTGGCTATTGCTCAACTGGCAGCAGACCTTGGCATCACCCACATGGTGCTGGTTTAGCACATAAAGAATGCAAGTGTTTTGAGGTTAAAAAGACTTCCACTACAATTTCAGAAGACCTAAGAGGCCAAGCAGTGTGCCTCTAAGAGGACAGGGTGTGAAGCTGTGATTGTGAAGCTGAAGGTGCAATGGAGAACCCAGAAGTTTAGAAAAGCCAGGAGCATGGATTGTCTAAGGAAACCTGCAAGCATGGAGCAAATCCAGCCCAAGATAGGAGCCACAGGAGCTACAACCATCAGAAATGCCATGAGGGTAGAATTGCTCAAAGCTTTTGGAGCTCACAACCAGATTGCTTCAGATGCTGAACACAGAACTGTAGAACTTAATGTTTGCCCCACTGGATTTTGGACTTCCTATTCCTTTGTATCCTTGTTTGTCCCTTCTGGAATGGTAATTTTTACCTTGTGTCATTGACTGTTGGAAGTGTCTAACTTTCTTTTCATTTATACAAAGGCTCATAGCTAAGAGCTTGCCCTAAATCTCAGAGTAGAATTTTTACTTGGACTTTGCAGTGATGCTGAAACTGTTAGGACTCTGGCAACTCTTGCAGATGGACTAAATGCCTTTCTCATGAAGGGATATGCATGAGTCTTTGGGTGGCCAGGGGCAGAATGTTATGGTGTGGGTTTAGTTGTCCCCCTAAAGCCTCATGCGGTCATGGGAGTAGGTGGGCTCTTTGAAGGAAGCTGAATCTAAAATTTGTGATTGATTTGTTGTTTAGTGCTGGAATTGGTGGTGTGAGTGCTACACCCACCCAGGAGTGAGTAACTGGCATACGGTGTAAGGGAGGGGAGGAGGTGTGCTTTTCCCTTTTGTTCTTGTCACTTCTATTATCTGCTGCAGCTGCCATGTTGCTGCTCAGCTATGTCACCCTGACTTGGAGCCAGCCAATTGTGGACTGAAACCTTCACAAACTGTGAGGTAAATAAACTTTTCCTTCCTTAATTTTTGGTGTTGGGTATTTTGTTTCACCAGTGAGAGAAAAAGTAACCAAGACAGCAAGTTAGCAAGGCGCTGTTTCAAAGTAAAAAATAAAAAGGACTAAAGATGTAGTGCAATTAAAGACCCTGGGTTCAACCCCATTGCTGGTGATGGGTGTTGGGGTGTGGGGTTGGTGATGTTACTGTCTTCATTTCCTCTACAAGTTTGAGTAGTGAAGGCTCCTCTCTCTCCTCTGAGTTTGGTGTGTATGTAGCCTTGGTGTGTTTTTGGTTGTGTGTGAGGCTTCCTTACAGGTAACAGCATCACTTCAGTTTTTACTTTGGGTATCTCTGTGTTCAGGTCTTTCTGATCCTTATGAAACTTATTTCTTACCCATGGCACCACCTACATTAATCTGTGCTTCTCCTTTTTGCATTCCTTTTACTTGTCCTTGTCACACCCTTTGGAGAACATTCTTGGGTGCTCCAAATTCTATTTTCAAAAATTGAGATATAATTCACAAATCATAAAACCTGGCCTTTAAAAGCATTCAATTCTGTGGTGTTTAGTTATTCACAAAGTTGTTGAACTATCTCTACTATATAATCCCAGAAAACTTCCATCATTTCCCAAAGAAATAATCTTATGCATTAGCAGTCATGACCAACTGGCCTTTCCCTTAGGCCTCTGGAATCCGCTAATTTGCTTTCTCTCTATATAGATTTTCCTATTCTGGATATTTCGTAATGGAATCATATGATGTGTTGTTTTATAAATGTAGTCTTTCACTTTGTGAGATATTTTCAAAGTTTGTCCATGTTGCAACACGTATCAGTACTTCATCAATTTTTACGTGGGAAAATACTCCATTTTATTCATTCATTCATAGAATGAATGACATTTAAGTTGTTTCTGCTCTTTAGCTGCTATGAGTAAAACTACTTTGAACATATTTATTCAAATTTTTGTGTGAACGTATGTTTTCTAGTCTCTTGGGTTTGTAATGAGGAGTAGAATTTTGAGGAACTGACAAACTGTTTTCATGTCTGCTTTATCATATGTTCCGACCAGCAATCTATGAGTTCCAATTTCTACACATCCTCACTTTCTAAATGTTTGTCTTTTATATTATAGCTTTGAAGTAGTACCGCACTGTGGAATTATTTGCATTTCTTCAATGATGAATTACATTGAGCATATTTTCATGTGCTTATCAACCATTCATGTATCTTCATTGAAAACTGTCTATTTAAATCAATGACTGGTTTTAAAATCATATTATTTGTTTTTTATTGAGTTGGAAAGATTCTTTATACATTTGGGATGCTATATTTTTGACATAGTTTTGCTAATATCTTCTCCCATTCGCGAGGTTATCTGAACTTTGAAAATAATGGTCTCTGCAGGACAGCTGGTGGTTTTTTTTTTTTTTTTTTTTTTTACCACCAGGGATTGAATTCATAACCTTGTGCTTGCCAGACAGGTGCTTGTACCAATGAGCTAAATCCTCTGCCCTGGTTTTGATGTTAAGGAAGAGCTGTTTTTCTATTTTTTTACTAGTTGCTTGCACTTTTGGTGTCCTCTCATGGAAACCATTGCCTAATTGAGGGTCAATTAAGGGATAGTCCAGTTGGTCATTAAATGTTTTTCTCTAAGTGTTTTATAGTTTTAACTTTTACGTATAAGACTTTGATCTACTTAAACTGAGTTTTGACTATGATGTTAGACAAGAATCTAAGTGTAAAATATTGGACTGAGAAATTTTTTTATTTGATTCAGAATGTTTAGGAACAAGAACAAAAATATACAAGAGAGATTCCATCAAACTAAAAAGCAAACAGCAGCAGAAGGAGCAGATAATGGGTGGATGGTTACAGGTATAGCTCACTTGTAGAGTGTGTGTCTTGCCTGTTTAGAGGCCTGAGTTCAACCATTAATGAGAGAAAGAGAAAGAGAGACAGAGACAGAGACAGAGAGACAGAGAGAGAGAGCGAGAGAGAGAGAGAGAGACAGAGAAAGAGAGACAGAGACAGAGAGAGAACCTAAGGCTTGAGAGAACATATTTATAAGATGTACGTGTTACAGGATTCATATTCAAAACATGTAAGGAACTCAAGAAAACACATAATCTGATTTCAAAAAATGGGTAAAAGACTGAATAGATATTTCTTACTAATGGCTAATTAGTATAGGAAAGAACACTTATCATCCCTAATCCTGAGGGAAATGCAAACTAAAGCCAAGGATCACTTCACACCCGTTAGGATGGCCATTATCAAAAAGCTGAGATAGTAAGTGTTGACAAGAATGTGGAGAAAACATCTGTACACTGTTAGTGGGAATGTAAATTAGTATGTTTCTTATAACGAAAACTGTGTTTCTTCTTTGTAAGAATCTTTTTGGTTTATTTCTTGCACTCTGAGTAACTGCTTTGAAGATAATGATACACAGTGTATTAATTATTGTTACTCTCTTATTTTGTTAGGAAATTTTATTTTTTCAAAAAATTAAGAAAAGAATAAAGAAAAGTTGAAACAAAAAATACAAATACCACATGATCAGGCACTTCCATTTCTGGGTCTGTATCAAAGATTTGAAATTCATGTCAAATACACCTCTGCTCTCCTGTGTTTGTTCCAGCACTGTCCACAACAGTCAACTTATAAAATCAACCTAAGTGTCCATCAGTGGATAAAAGCATGGTGTTTATACACAGTGGGATCCTAGCCCAGTGCTAAAAAGAAGGAAATTCTATGATTTTTAACAGTATAAATGAACCCAAAGGACATTATGTTAAGTAAAATAAGCCAGGCATAAATATATTCTCATACATAGAATCTAAAGCAAATGAACTCATAGAAGCAAAGAGTAGAATGGAAGATATCAGAGTCTGGGGGAAATAGGGAATTCTCGGTAAAAGTGGACAAAATTTCGGATGGATAAAAGAATATAGCTTTGTTTATCAATTTCATAGCATGATGACTATAGTGAGCAATAATGCATTAAGTATTCCAAGTTGCCAAGAGAGTACATTTCAAATATTCTTACTATGAAAAATACATATTTGTGGTGATGGATATGTTAATTATCTTGACGTAATCATTTTATAGTATAGACATATAGCATCATTTTGAATCTTATAAATATATGTACTTATAATTTGTGAATTTACAATTAATATATGAGGTTAGCAATGAAGTCTTGTAGATGCCCTTTATCAGGCAAAAAAAAAAATTCCCTTCTATTCTTATTTTGTTCAGAGATTTTGTCATAAAAGACAAAAAGATTTTTGTATCTGATTATGTGGCTTTTGTATGTTTTTTTCATTAATAAGGTGCATTGCATTGATTAATTTTCATATCCCTCCAACTTGCATTCCTGGAGTAGACTCACTTGATCATGGTGAATAATCCTTTTTGTAAGATGCTGGCCTCAGTTTGATGGTATTTTGTTGAGGATTTTCATGTCTATATTCTTTTTTATGCCTATGTTCTTAAAGGTTGTTATTCTACAGTTTTCTTATAATATCTTTGGTTTTCCTATTAGGTAATACTGTCCTCATAGCTTGGCTTTTAAAAGTGTTTCTTCTTGTTTGGGACAAGTTTGTGAAGTATTGGTGTTTTCCAATGTATTTTTCAATGTAATTTAGCTCCATTCTAAAGCATAAAAGAAAAAAGTGGAGAGCAGCCCTTTTGTGATTTGTGCTTCTAGACCTTGTCATCTTTGCATGATTCCTAGGCCTGTGGTAGCCTCCTTGGGCATAGGAGGGAACCCATCCCAAGTCGACAATGTAAGGAGAGCAAAACAGAAAGAAGGAATAAAAAAAACCAATTTTTATGAGCAGTTGAATAACTGACATTGCAGCTCCTGTTTCTAGGCCTTTGATTATTGGAGGTAACACCTGCCTTTATTGTTTAAATCTATTTGCAGCTGAAGGCATCTGTCTGATAGGCATTGTGTCCTTTGCAACATACCTTGGTATGTTCATTGTCCTGCACTTCCTGAGAGATCACCATTCATGCCTGCAGAAAAGCATCCTGAGGGGAACTTGACAATCACTGGTTTCTGTAAGTGCAACCTCAAGATTACATGGGCAACAATTCATTGGGACACTTAACACTATTGGGGAGTTAACATTTTTGTCCTTCATGTAGAATGGTTAAAATGAAGGACCAGGGTTTGGGCAGACATACTTTGTCTTGGTCACTTCCCTGTTCTCTGAGAACCAATACCAGACACCCATAACTTAAAGGAGGAGAGGGTTACTTTGGCTCACAATTTGTAGAGGTTCAGTCCATAGTCTTGATTGGCTCCAAGGTGGGATGGCATGACAGAGGGACCTGGCCAAGCAGATCTGCTAATTGCATGGTTGCCAGGAAGCAGAGAGTAGTCAAGGGAGGTGCTGAAGAGGAAAATAGACTCTTCCAGGTCACAACCACAGTGACTGCCACTTCTTGCCTGACCTCTTCTCCTAATAGCAAGTTAGTTGTAAGTCTCCATAATCTCATCACCTTTTAAAATCCCCACTTTTGAGTTCAAGTGACTTGGGGGAGACATCCAGAGGTAAGCCGAATTGTAATGACACCATATGTGTGTGGGTTAGTCAGGGTTCTCTTGAGAGACAGAACTAAGAGACCTCTGAGACGGCCTCTGATTCCTGCCCTACTATACATGCTCTGGACATTTGTCTCTCTTTACAAGAGAATGGGTTCCAGAAGCCCCCTGTGGACACCAAAATCTGTAGATGCTCAAATCCTTTACTTGGAATGATGTTGTATTTGCATCTAGCCTACACCCTCCTATATGTATAATTAAAAATTTAAATCATCTCCAAGTAATATATAATCCCTAATACAATGTAAATGCCACATAAATAACTGTAGGAAATAATGACATAAAATGACATAAGTGACATAAGTAGGAAATAATGCCATAAAAATGTCTTTTCATATTCAGTGTAGACACAGATTTTAGTTTTCAAATATTTTTAACCTGTAACGGTTGATTGGATCCTTGTATAAAACGCACGGACAGAGAGAGCCATTCTTTCTTAAGTGTGGGTGGGACTGTACATGTAATATCACAGAACGACATAAATATGTTTTATAGATGGAAAAAAGGTTTCAAGTCACTAGACTTTGAGTCAGTCAAGAGAAAGACGACCCTAAGCAGGCTTGACCTAATCAGGTGAGCTGTTAATCAGGACTGAATCTTTCCTATCTATAGTTTTGAATTTGAGCATTTGTTGAAGGGATCATTTGTCAAAGGGGCTTGAGAGCAGCCTCCAGGAACTGACATCGCTAGGCTAATAGGGTACAGGCTAATAGGTAGCAAGAAAATGGGAACTTCAGCCATTCAGCCTCAGGGGAGTGACTCTTGCCGACAACCTGAGGGATCTGGGAAGCAGAGCTTTCCCTACTTGAGCCTCCAAATGAAGATGCACCTGGATAGCAAGTTGCATTCAGCCTTGTGATGCCCTGAGCACAGGGCCCCATTACTACCAGGTTTGAGGTAATTTGTTATGCTGCGATAGAAAACTCACACATGTACCATTTCAAGCATGGCTCCTTTGTATTGCAAAAGAGTGTTAATGAATGACAGAGAATTTGTGCAAAGTAATGTTTGATAACTCAGAAATGGCTTAGAACATGTGCCCTGGCACATGCCCTTTTTTATCATTAAATTTGACTCATTTGATGAGACTCTGGGTAAGGGGCTGGATTGTGGAGAGCTGGGGATATATTTTATTTTATCTTCCTCTAGACAATTTCCCATAGGTGGTCAGCTCTAGAGAGGCTGGGAGCCTTTATTCTGGCCTCAGGACAACTATAGAAACCTCAGTCATCCCTGGCTTGTATGAATTTTGAGTTCCTTCCATTTAGTTGACGTGTATTCCAGGAAAAGGTATCCAAATCAAAGAGATCCATGGTATCAGGAGGGATTTAAAAAAAAACATGAATATAGTGTCTGTTGGATATTTTTCCTTTTATAGTGTAAGTCATAGTTCTTTCTTGAAACCTGCTACTCAGTGAAACAGCATGTAGGCAGATCCATTTTGGTGGATATTTCCATCTCTCCTACTGCCGATGTGAACATAATACATAGACACTAGGTGTCATACCTAGATCATGTCCTATCTGTATAGTGTTAAACTATTTTTACAAAATGATAGTATAAAAAAAGATAATCAAAGCTGCTGCCCTTTTATTAATTTTACTTTAAAAAGATTTTAGATTATATTAATGTCATGGATTTATGTGAATAATTTTCTTTTCTTTCTTTCTTTGTTTAGTTCTTCTTTTTTTTTTTTTTTTTTTTTTTTTGGTATGTGTGAGGCTTTGAAGGGATCAAAGGTAATTGTGTGTATTTCCAACTTGCAGACAACAAAAAAAGCAGAAAAGTACCTTTTCTATTGTTATTGCATTGATAATGAAAATGAGAATCAGATGGACTTCTGTTTTCAAGTTTAAAAAATGTCCAGTCATTTCTGCAAATGGTTTAAAAGCCTTGAGATTTTAGGAATATGTACTTGCAATTATTCTCTTTTAATAATTAATTACTAATATGTTTTAATCACTGAGCACATTGTTTTGATCATTAAGAATTTACAATGTAAAGATTATTTCAAGGTCAAATTTCAAATGTTAATCGTTTTAACCTAATGCATGTAAATCTCTACTGAATTCAGTTTAAAAATAAAAAAGTAAATCATTAATTTGAACTGGCATACTTACTGGAAATTGTCTTTTATTATTCTCTGCTATGGTTCAAGGTCATTTCTTTAATCAAACCTCAGAGTTGGATAGAATCATCAGAAGAAAAATCATTCCTATCCCTCTCCTTTCCTTAAAAATACAACTCTCACAGGAGATCTCTAACTTTCCTTTTCTCTTAATTGTTCTCATCTCATCTTTAATTATTTCTGCTGCTGTGATGGTGGTTTTTTTCCTCTCTTAGTTCTGAGAGCAGATTGTGTCACTGAGCTCAAAATACTTAGAATACTGAGAAATCACACAGTTTTATTTCCTGGTTCATGACTTCGGCTTGATGCTTGAAAACTTTGCAGGACATTTCCTTTCTGAAGAGAATGCGTCTCCTGACATTCACAGCCTCTTTGTTAGCTGTGGTCTCACTGAGGCCATGTTAGACATGGATCACAAGCAAAGGATTTGTCACCTCTTGCCCCATTGGGCTTGAGTTCTGATGCCCTCCATACTGGCTCTGGGTTCATAGAAAGCTAATATCCACCCTGTGTCCTCACACACTCATATGGAAAGTGGGGACAGGCAGGGCTCCGTGTTGAGTCTTGTAGTAAGAGAGACAGGGAGCTGTGTAGGCTCATCAGCTTCATCCACAGTGGAGGAAAAAACACACTTTCTTTATTATGGCCACAGTGGATTTTCCTCTGGCCACTGGGTAATATGTGTCTATTAGTCCCACCCAGTTTGTCTTAGACTCATTCAATTTGAGCTAAAAAGCCCAGTTCAATTAAAATAGCTCCTTTAGGCACTAAGGAGAAATATGATCCAATACCCTCCCCCTGAGTCTGTCCCTAAATGGCTTCAAGGCGTGAGAAGGGAATTGTATTCTTGCAGTCTTTCTGTCCTTGCAGGTTCTCCTTGTATACCATGGCCTTCCTTACCCACTGGGATATGTCCTAAGATAGAACCTAAACCTACAAATACAATGTCTTTTTCCCTAATGCAAATGCCTGGGATAAAGTTTAATTTATACATCAGGCTTATTAAGTGATTACTAACAGCAATGGGCAAAAAAGAACCATTGTAACAACATTCAGTAATACAAATTCTGTGAATGTGGGTGTGGTCTCTTTCTCCCTCTCTCAATATACTTTTTTGTTCTCCATTTTGACTTTATGGCTTCTGTTTGGCATTTCTGAGTACCAGCATCACCACTGTTTTGCTTTGGGGCCATCAGTAAGTAAAATAAGGGTTACTTAAACTCCAGCACTGCCACAGTAATCTATCTGATAACAGTGGTGGCTAAAGTGACTAAGTGGATAGGTAGTATGTAACAGCATAGATCTGTTAGACAAAGATTCAATTCATGTCCTCTGTGGGACAGAGGGAGATGTCAAGAGGTTTCATCACACCATGCAGATTAGTGCACACTTTAAAGCTTAGGAATTAAAAAAAAAATTCTCCATTTAATGTTTCAGATATGGCCGAGCATGGGTAACTGAAGCCACAAAAAGTGAGACTTGGTGGGAAGGTGCTATAGCCCGTTCTGTGGGTTTAGGCAACCACCCGGGACACAACCAACATGGCTTGCTTGCTGCTTACTGCTGCTGGCAGACCCCTGAGTCTTATTCTTTCCTGGCTCCAGGCCAAGTATTATTTGGTCATCTGATTTTGAGTCCCTGAGCCTGAAGTGGTCCAGGGCAGCTGATCTTCAAGGGTGCCTTGTGATAATCAGGCTTTTCGAGCTGCTAGGTTTACCAGGAGATGTCCGTGCCTGGATTGCACAGCCTGTCAGATTCCTCTTTCCAAAACCTGCTTTAGGTAGGAAGAGCAGGAAACTCTGTCCTGATTAGCCTCATTTGGAAATGGTATGCTTGCTGGCTTGTCTTAACCTCCTGGCTTGGGTTTTCTTCTCCTTCCCACAGTTCACTCAGGACCAGCAAAGAGCAGGTCCTCCTTCATGGAGATCCCATGGGTTTGTCCTCTGAGGCTGACCGTCGGTATGCTGCAGGCAGGATGAGAAAGGCTACGCATCCTTTCTCAGAGCAGTGGCCCAGCTTGAAAGGCTAACTCTGGCTTCAAACCATCCTTTTGGTACAGAATATTATCTTCTTTGCTTTTTTATATAACCCTTGTCTTTCCCTTTGGTAGAGGGATTTTCTAAGACCACAAGAAAGAGTTAGACAAAAGATAAAAGCACATTAATGCTCTTTAAAATTCTATCTTTGTAATATTACACTCCATCCAGCGCAGCTTCTGGTTAGGACCCAATGAATATTTGTTTAATGAATGAATATTGCTGATGAATGAGTTCTTTTTAAATAAATGGAAACAGTTATACATTCCATAACACCATTTTAGTCAATAATGGACCAGATGCTGATAGTGGTCTCATCATATCACATGTAACATCCAGCTATCTTGGTTTGTATAAATAAATATACTCTATGATGTTCACAGAATAATGAATTATCTAGTGATAGATTTTGTTCCCATTATTAAATGGGGAATTGTATATATTTCTCAAGCAGCTCACTGACAATTCATAACAGATATCTTGGAGACATTTTATCATGAAGAAATTATAAATCCCTTGTTAATTATCAAGTAAGTAATTATGAAGCTGTTACCTCTTTTCTTCATGAAACCCAGTTGTAGAAATAATAAATTCTTACCAAAGCAAAAGTTGCACTGGACAAAGCAGGGAAGATTTTGTTCAAGGCTATTGAATCAGGGAAAAAGACTAAGACTCAGTTCTATTGAAACAAAGAACAGGTGAGCTTTTAAGGAATGGGATGAGCTAGTGAAAACTATTGGAAGGCTTGGAAGGGCAGGTTGATCAATAGAATGTGTTAAACACAGTATTATTTCCTGAGCTTGCAGATGCTTTTCTGTGTGATTATTCCAGTTAGATTTGCTGGTTGACACTCATAAAATTAGGCTTTTACTCTGTAAGAAAGACTAGGAGACTAGGTATAGCTTTCCTTATGATTAGATTTCAAAAAGATGACTCTCAGGTTCTTGAGAAACATATTACTGAATTGTAAAATTGTCAAAAAAGAATAATTGGGGTAAGGGGAAGGAGAATAGAAAGATGGGAATATATATATATATATATATATATATATATACACACACACACATGCAAGATAGATAATTATACTACTAATCTGTTAGTTCATCAAAAAGAATGGTTTGTGCTTTCATTGTTTGATCATTTTTTATGCCTGTGTCTTGTAATCTGAGCAGCTACTTTGAAGATAAGAATATGCAATATATTTTATTAACCATTGTTATACTATTAGTTATTTTGAAATTCTGTATCATTGCTTATGTTCTTTTTTCATTTTAAAATAAAAAGATTTGCATATTTTAAAGGGCAGAGAGAAATTTGCAATTCTAAGTTTTTCTAAAGAAAACACTCTAAGAGGCTAGGCAAAGTGTTGCATGTCTGTAGTCCCAGGTGAGGCAGGAGTATCATGAGTTCAAGGCCAGCTTGAGCTAAACAGCAAGTTCAAGACCAGCTTGGACTGCATAGTGAGAGCCTGTTTCCACAAAAACAGCAGCAGCAGCAGCAGCAGCAGCAGCAGCAACAACAACAATAGAAAGCTGTTCTAAGAAAATGATCTAAGAAAGAGAAATTGGGACCTAGTTAATAAGCTTGGGAAATTGGGACTTCGGAATACGATTTTCTTATGTTTAGTCAGTCTACGCCATCTTGGTTGCTTTAAACCAAGTGAACAGGTGGTTGCCATTTGGGAATTTAATGTGAATATAGTGTTTTCATACTGTTCCCCGTAAATATTACTTAATGAAGTAAAACGCCACTGAACTAGTAATAGGAGAATGTAGCTAATACGTCTATGTTTTGCTTTGTGGTGCCATCATTTGGGAATCAGAAAAGATATTGGATAACATAGCTCCCATCTGCAGAAGTCTTTCAGAGCCCTAGTGTCACTGACAAGAAGGCATTAACCATGGTTCCTTCCACTTGAAAGTGTTAGCAGTGAATCTCTCCATTTCTTATCTGCCATATTTGAGTTGGATCAGGCGCCCTCTGCTAAAATATGTTGCAAATATACAAATACCTTTTCTTTTCTTTTTTTTTTTTTTGTCTTTTTCCTTTTTATCGGTACCAGGGATCAAACTCACGACTGCCTGCTTTCAAGGCAGGCGCTTATGCTGCTGAGCTAAACCTCCAGCCCAAATACCTTTTCTGAAGTCTTACTATGGACTGTTGCTTCTTGTGTTCCCCTCATGGTTCTTTATATTTTTCTTTCTTGAAGAAACCATTTTACTTGACAAATATATTGGGAGATTTTCATCACCACGAATTCTCAGTGTTAGAGAAGTTTAAAGAGAAAAACTTCATGGGAGGTTGGGCATTTTGGACAAAAGCATGGCAGTACAGGGGGGAAAATACTGATTAAAAGGAAGTAGCCCAGTTCTGGAAGCAATGAGAAAATAAGAGAATGAAAACATAAAATAGGAACTCTAAGCTTGTGTTGGGTAGGGTAAGAGGGCATCGACACCTTTTCATTTTGATGGTGTCAGCTGTGGAGCTACCAAAAGAAGTTGATCACTGTAAGACTCAGAAAAATCTATCAGTGAGGGATAATTGCATCAGTTTGAATTGTTTCAGCTGTATTATTTAACAGAATTTTAGAAGTGTTTCCAGGACTTTTCCTTTTAGACTTTTTCTTGGCTACAGTAACCCATTTGCAAAACAGGTATTTGTCAGTTCTCATGGAGTTTCATAGTCATTTATGTTAATGAAGAAAAACAGTCTCATGAGCCAATAATCATTTAGTGCTGGAAATCATACATTCTAAGCAGCTAGTCATATTTGATGATCTGCATGGATTTTTACATCTTAGATTAAGTGCCTGTGGATTATGTTTCATTGTTTATTGAAATACTAAATGCTACTAAGTTCAGCGGCGGCAGCAGCAATAGTTTTTGATATCATAAAGATGTTAGGCAAAATCCTGCTCATCTTTTAATTATTAAATGCTGCATCCAAATT